TTTACTTGTCTTATATTTTCATCCTCTCTACCTTCCCTTACAATATTTCGATTACCTATAGTCCGATTATTATACTCCCTATTTTGTCTCCAATTTTCCCTATCTCTATCCTGTCCTCGATGCCATCTATTTTGTTGCCACTGATTATTTCTATTCTCATAATAATCATTATTTCTCCGATCAAATCTCCGAACATTTTGTCTATTGTCCCTATTGTGACTATTATAGCCTTGATTTCCACTATATCTATCATCACCTCCTCCAGTATTACCATTTCCGAAATTTCTACTCTGATATCTAAAATTATTCCCCTGAAACTGACTACTATAACTCCCATTGTTAGCAACACTTCTCTCCAATCGCTGTAAATAACTAGATAAACTTTCCAATTTTTTAATATTATGTAACGCTATCGTCTGTGCCATTTCCTGATTGAACTGCCTTGCTATGTATAACACTATCTCCTCCTCCCGCATATTAGGTTCAAGATACTGAGCTGTATTCTTACTTCTGTTATAATTAAACTTTCCAAAATAATATCTTTCCCAAAAACTAGCTTGCTGAATCTCCCCCCAAAAATAATTCAAAAATCTAACCTCAAATTCCTGCATATTCTTTATTTTGTTCTCTTCATTGCAATACCACAACAGAGGAAGACCAGTTAGCATATTTCTAATAACTAATTTTTTTTCTACTAAATCCCTGACATTTTTTACCTTGTTTTGAACTATTGTAACAAAAACTTTAGGATGGATGTTATTTATATTTCCATCAAACTTATTTCCCCCATCAATGTAGTTGGGTACTACAGTTAAACCTTCTCTTGAATTTTGTCTTAAATTTTCCTCTATTTTTAAAATTTCCTCTGTTGTGTTTTGCATTTCCCTATTCATCTCCTCTATTGCCCTCCTAAAATTTGTTTCTCCTATCTTAGATCTTTTAGTACAACTTATTAATTGTTCCTCTACTATCCCGTTGAATTTTTCTATCTCCTTATCAACATTTTCTTTCAAATTATGTATAACCTCATCATGTACCTGTCCCTGTAACTTCATGTTTCCAATTTCCCTATTCAACATATCATTCTGTTTAGTTACCTCTATTTGAATCTCCCCTAGCAAATTTTCCTCAATATTTCTTTTTAACTCACTAACCTTTTTTTTTACATCTTTTCCTATCTCCAATCTAAGATTTACCCCTTCTTTGTCTATTTCTGTCCGTAACTTTTTATTTTGCTCCTTAACCTCTTCTCTTACTTGTGTAATCTGAATTCTAAACTCCTCATTCTCTTGCCTAATTTTTTTAATTTCTGTTAAACTTTCTATTTTTACTTCATCTATTTTCCTTTCCAAATTTTCCCTCATATCATTCATATTCCCCTTAATATTATTCATATCCCCCTTAATATTATTCATATCCCCCTTAATATTATTCATATCCCCCTTAATATTATTCATATCCCCCTTAATATGAGTAATATTTTCATTCATAAAAATAAGCTGCTGCATAATCTCAAATATTCCCACCTGTGGTCTCACCTGCAATCCCTGACTACTAATACCTTCTCCTTCTCTCTCACCCTGCCCTTCACTTTCCAATTCTTCCCCATTACTCCTTACTGTACGATCCAGCTCCTCTCTCAAATCTCCCAAACTCTCATCCCTATCGACATCCTGTTCCTGGTTTGATCTCCCCTGTTCAATATACTGAATTGCACAATCCCCTGTAACAAATCTCCTATCATAATCTACTTGTACTATCTGATTATTTCCACCTAACGTCTCCTCATCACTACCTGCTTCACCAATCTCCTTGCCATCTCTTAAAGTCATCCTACTTGCCATGTTTCCCTACTAATAACACACCCTGTATTATATGTAATATTAAAATAGTTTTATATAACAAATTATTAGAAAAAAAAAATATCAAAAATCTACATTTTGCTCGCCCTACGTTGATGCGCCAATTGATATAAATATAAGAATTTAGATGTTTAATTTAACCCAGTGTAGCTAGCTCAGTAATTATCTAAATTTTTTATTAGATTATGATGAATATTTGTATCAGAATTTTGGGTTGGGTTCATTCACTTGTATTACTCACTATCAATAATTTCGATAATCAAAAGAAAAGAAGAATTAAAAAAATAAACTCACCTACGAAATTTCTATAACGTTTCACTTCCAAATATCAATTTAACTATTCCCTCTATATTTGATTTGATAACACTATCGTAATTTAGACTCTAAAAATTTAAATAAAAAAAATATTAATTTAGAAATTATATTATTTTATTGTCGTCTTCTTCTTCTCAGCCCTGTCTGCACTTCCCTCTTCTTACACTGCTCTTGTTCTACCGCCTGCCTTATTACTTCTTGTATGCTGTCCTCTAGCGTCTCAGCTTGTCTCTGCTTGTATCTGCTGTCTCTGCTTGTCTCTACTTTCAATTTCTGCTTTATGCTGTTATAAATAAAACTTATATACCTTCTTTTTATATTTTCTGCTTTATTCATGTAACCAATTTCAATACATTTCAATAATCCATACTTATTTTTCTGTAACTTTACATTCAATAATCCGTCTTTTTAAAATTCCACTCCCCCTCTGACAGTTTTCATCCCCTCTGACAATTAATAATCTTTTTAATTTTCCAAAACTTTAAAATTGACTTTTTTTCCAGAAACATTGATATTAATTTATATTTTTAAAAAACAAACATAGAGTGTTTTTTTTTAACCAAATTCCGTCATAATACATAGGTATTCCCTACTATATGTTGTTTTAGAGAATAGTCTAGTTCCTATAATTTATGTAAATAATTTATTAAATTTAGTTAATTAAGGTGTCTGGGCATTGATTGTCAATTTATGACATTTTAATTTAAACTGTTTCCAATAGGTATTATTTTGTTTTGTGCATTGTTATTATTATGCAAGAAATGGTGGATATGATTCTCACCATAGGTGAGTGTTATGAAAACTGTTTTTAGCAACACCGGTTTATGCCCAAAAGTATCCAGACAGAAATCAACCGTATAAGAAAACTTTTGAAAGAGTTTTAGAACGTTTTCTTACAACAGGCAGTGTTGCATATTCAAAACAAACTGTGAGTAAACCCGTAGTTGATAATGAAGAAAACGAATTTCTAGTATTAGGTTCAGTAACGGAGAATCCTCACATTAGCACCAGGGAAATTTCGAGGCAAATGGGTATACCTAGAACCAGTGTAATGAGAATTCTCAAGAAAAACCGACTCCACCCTTACCATATCCAATTTCATTAACATTTATATGGTACTAATTTTCAACGACGCATAGATTTTAGTTTATGGGCGCTAGAACAGGTAGGAGAAAATAGAGACTTTTTCGATTTTGTCTTATTTACAGACGAATCCACTTTCCATAACAATGGCTTAGTAAATCGCAATAATTTCCATTACTATGATACAGAAAATCGGCACCTATTTAGAACTATTGACCGACAAAACAGATGGAGCATAAATGTTTATGGGGGGATTATTGGAGAGAAAGTTATAGGCCCATATTTTTTTTAATAGCCATCTAAATGGAAATAATTTTTTGAGGTTCCTTCGTTCAGATTTTTGGCTGCTTCTCGATGATATACCGTTCAATAGTTCGTACGGCAACAAATGTGGCTACAATTATATGGTGCTCATTTTGCGCGGGACGTGAGAAATTACTAAGACCGGAAATTTGATAATAAATGGATAGGAAGAGGAGGCCCATGCCATTGGCCACCTAGATCACCCTGTTTAACACCCCCAGACTTTTTTTATAGGGTTACATAAAAAGTCTTGTATACAATACCCTAGCAACCACGCCAGAAGATATGAAGGAACGAATTAAGAATGCATTTGCAACTATTACGTCGGATATGCTAAAAAGAGTAAGAAATTAGTTTGAACGAAGGATCACAATGTGTATTCAAGAAGACGGTCATCATTTTGAACATCTATTAAATTAATTTATTATCTTGTATTATTTTGTAATTCGTGTTTCAAAAAAAAATGTAACAATGTTTGTAAAACTATCACAGATAGGTATAGAGAATTTCCACATCGTTTGAAAGGGTTTCGAAAGATACTTCAAATAACGTTAAAATATATTTGGTGTTCTATTTAAAATAACGAAGTTTTTAGTGTTTAAATCTACGTATAATAAATAGTATTTCGTAAACACCCTATATAATATTTTTGATTAGTAAGTATTTGAGGTTACAGTCCAGAAGACGCTTAATGTACTTAAAAAAAATCAATTTAAAATATTAAGAAATGTAGGATATATTTGCATTTTTTAAAAACCCGAAAATTTTGAAAATCCTCGAGTGTATCAAAAATGATAGACTCTAGGTTAAAACAACCCCTTAACGAAGTTACACTTTATAGATTTCAAAAATTCAATAAAATATAGGGTGTCCCGATTAAGAAACCTATTTTTGATATATTCCAATTTCCTGGAGCACCCTATATTATTAAAATTATTTTTAAATTGTTGCCCTTTCTAATATACGTCTCACCGTAAAAACCGATTTTTTAAAAAAAGTTTAGTTTTGGATATACAGACCGAGGCGGTACCGGTGGACCACCCTGTATAATTACATATTGCTTTGTAATTACTTTAAATAAAATAAATAATATAACTATATTATTTTTTTGGTACTAAAATATTGACATTTCCTTGTTTCCGATAATTCATTTTGGCGAGTAGATTATTTTACCAAATGTTTGACTACAAGTACTACTGGTTAGGCAGTCCCGCAGTACAGAATTCGACCGCAAATCCTTTGGAGACTATGTCCTTAGGTTAACTTTAGTAAAAAAAGCGAAGCTTGTCGTTGAACGCTGTTCATAGAAAAAACAAATGTATAAATAATAATTTGTTTTCACAGTAGAGGTCTATTAGCTTATATTCAGTTCTTATATTACCCATTCAAACAATTTTAATTAATACACTACTTTTACACGTTCTTCTTTAATTGCAGGTACGATCCAGAGAATCCGTTTGTATGCTATCCATCAAAACCCGAGATTCACAATTTAATAATGGCTCTGTACAACACCCGTTATAATGGATCCAAAAACCCGCCTATCAACTTTTGCAGCAGAAAACGACCAGCCCACACAATTTTAACAAACATGCATTACGGTGGAAGATAAATTTCACCTATTATTATTTTTTAAATATAGATAATATTCAAGAAAGCAAATAAAAATAAAATAATAGAGTTGCGGTAAAAATATTGAAAAAAGATGTATGATAATTTATAATTTTAAAAATAAAGTTACTAAAATTGTTTTTAAGAGCAAAAACGAAAACTGATGTTAAAGAAAAATATGTTAAAATTAATTGAGATACTAAATAAGTGGTTACAATAATAAATTAAAATATGGAAAAAGTCATTTTGTTTATAAATGTATTAGATTTTGTTTTAAAAGTAAATAGTACACCTGCGTCACAGTAATATGTTCTAAGTCAGTGTTTTAAGAGCAATCCAGTCCCTTCTGACGTCACACCGCACGGATCTAACGACCTCCCATTAAAGTATTTGGAACCTTGTTCGCTACATAAATTTGGCAATGTCGTTTGACATGCGCTGAAGAATAATCATAGGATTGGGTAAGGTCTGATTACAATTACATGAACACAGGTATATATATCATCAATTGGCGAAGTAATTCGTTGGCTAACGCCGCCTACTGGGGGTTAGTGGCTTGTTAATAATATAGGAATGTAGGAATACCATTTTTAAACTAAACAACCCGAATATTTTTTATTTATTGATAGTTATAGATGATATACAGGGTGTTCCGAAATTAGACGGTCATATTTTAACAGCGGAATCTACATCTTAAAATAGTAGTAAAATTTCATACAAACATAGGTCCGAAATCGTTTATTTTCTGAGATACAGGGTGTTAAAGGTGAAGTCCTGATACCACATACCATATTTTCTAAACGTTTATAGATAATTAGGTAAAATTTGGTACAAATACTTACCTTTTAACGCTCTATTTTTGGACTAAACCCCAGTTTTTGATCATCTTCTTAGGTGGGTAAATTAGGGGGAGCTTATGGTAAGTTTTTTTTGTTGATAGTTTTTTAACATTTTTGACTATAAAATTTGGAAAACCAATATTTTCTGTATAATAAAGTTGCATTTGTTGCATCTCGCTAGGACGCACCATTTTCAAGAGAAAAGCATGTTACCTTATTTGAAAGTGTAAACAATAATTAGTAGGTCTGTAGAATCAGAAATTTTATTTTTTTTTAACTTTGGAAAACCGGTAACTAAAGAAATTTTAGAAAATATTTACAAAAAGAGTCATCTGGACTTCACTTGTAACACACTATATCTCGAAAACAAAACGTTTTCAGACCTATGTTTACATAAACTTTTACTCCTATTTTTAACCGACTTCAAAAAAGGAGGAGGTTCTCAATTCGTCGCAATATATTTTTTTTAACACGGTGTCCGATTTCAATGATTCTTTTTTTGTTAGAAAGGGGGTACTTCAGGGGTGGTCCCATATAAATTTGGTTAAAATCTAATAATTGGGCCCATGAGAAAATCCTTACTCTTCATTTTTTGTATGTTTAGCGATACTGCTTTATCACCTTGTCTGATTTTTATGATTATTTTTTTGTTAGTAAGGGGGTACTTCAGGGGTGGTCCCATATAATTTTGGTTAAGATGTGGTGACGGCATCTGCACGTTTTTGAATTCGGTTTTTTTAATTTTTAATTTCTAATACTTGTAGGATGTAGATTATGCTGTTAAAATATGACCGTCTAATATTATTGGAAATTCGAAATAATAGTTATGACGTAGCAATGCTCTTCTGATTTTAATTGGACCCTAGGTATATGGATACGGAAAGTGATGAATTGGCGATAGGTAAATTGTATTTATTGTATTAAAGGAACAACAAATATAAGTACAATTAAATAAGTATATTAATATAACAATTTTTTAATGTCTGTATATTTTTTTACATAGATTATTAAATTAAAAAAATAACTATTAAAACACGAAATGTTAATTTTTTCTCTTTTGAAACACAAAATATACAATACTGTTGAATCAAAATTTTTTCTTGGCAGCAGGTGGTTTTTGTGACGCGACAATTATGATGCTTTGCATCTCTTTAATTAAAGCTAATTCTTTTTTAATCTTAAGGTGATCACACCCCTTATAATTTTTGGACAAGAATATCTCAAAATATTTAAATTTTGGCAAAATAAATTAGGCAATAATATCTAGAATATGCATATATTTTAATGTTTTAATTCCTTCCATTTTCCGAAAAAAAAACTAAAATGGCTTTAATTATGAAATATTATAATGAAAATAAATGCATTCCTCGACAGCACTATTCTTAATATAATCCCCAAATTTAAGCTCCTAATGTCTTGTTAAGGATTTCTTAAATTCGCCAAAATTAGTGGCTAAAACGCCTTGCTAAGTGCTATCTTCTGGGGTAAACTGGTGTAAATTGTTTCAAAAAACGAATAATGACAGAGTGTACGATACGATAGTTACAAGCGCGTTACACCAGAAGACAGTACTTAACGAGGCGTTTTAGCCACTAATTTTGGCGAATTTTTAAAAATCATTACCAAGACATTAAGAATTTAAATTTTGAGATTATATTAAGAATAGTGCTGTTGAGGAATGCATTTATTTTACCATTATCATATTTGATTTTTTTTTTCTCGGAAACTGAAGGGAATTAAAACTTTAAAATATAGGCATACCTAGTTATGAAATTAAGATGGGTCTTTCCTATAATAAAATTTCCTCAGCCCACCCCTTTTCAAGATACCACCCTTAAGAGGTAGTGACTAAAATTGAGTTTCTATTTTTTTTTTTCTAAAATTTCAGTAAGGCTAGAAACTTGAAATTCTGTAATTTTCATGCACTCGCAAAGGACTAACCACGGTTATTTTTTTAATATTCCTGTTACATTATAGGGAGGTGAAATTAGCAACCCTTACTTTATTTCATATCAAAACTTTTTTCGAGGTGAAGTTTTATGAAATAATTTTGTAATTTGAAATCCTTGTTTTATTTAAAAAAAAAAAAAATTATTTTTAAATTTTTTTCCTAAAACCAATAGCTTCATAGAAAAAAATACTGTTTTCCATTCAATTTAAAAAAAAATGATAAATTAGGGTGTTAATTTTTTTTCTCTGAAGCTATTGGTTTTGAGAAAAAAATTCAAGAATAAAAAAAATTAAATAAAACAAGGATTTCAAGTTATAATTTTATTTCATAAAAGTTCATCTCGAAAAAAGTTTTGATATGAAATAAAGTAAGTGTTGCTAATTTCACCCCCTATAATGTAACAGAAATATTGAAAAAATACCCGTGGTTAGTCCTTTGCGATTACAGAATTTTAAGTTGCTAGCTTTACTGAAATTTTGGAAAAAATAAATAAAAACTCAATTTTAATCACCACCTTTTAAGGGTGATATCTCGAAAAGGGGTGGGCTGAGGAAATTTTGTTATAGAAAAGACTCATCTTAATTTTATACGAGCAATCACCTCCTGAATTTTGTCGCATGTATTTAGAAATACCTTGTATATTACACATTTTTTTAAGCGGGCAAAATTCTTGACAATCTCTTTTCCCTAATTGGCACATGTCGTATTTCTCTAGGATTTACTAACTCTGGCAGCAAACAATTAAAATAGAAATTTGTCAGCTGTGGTAGCATTTTTGCCTTCCAGAATTTTTCATTTCATAAATTAACTAAAAACTAAATTAAACAAAAACCTAACAACGCCTCAACAACAAACTAAGACGATAACAATAATTTCGCACCTCTTCAAAAACAACTACCTATGTTTCGACACAGGAATTAACAAATTTAACTAAACAGCAGCTACCCTTTTAACCACGGGCTTCATAGACTAGCAGCGTTGCCATATTCACTGGTATCATTGTTTTAATAGAATTAGTATCGGAATGAAAATGTTAATCTTTGGTTCTGTTTAAAATTGGTAATCTTTTTAAAAAAAAGTCATTTAGAAAATAGTTAAGATATTTGTTATAGAATGACGCTAAAGGGCCAAAAAATTAAATTTGTTAAAAAGTTGATATTTTTGTTGTTTTTCTTTAAAAATTAAAGTTTTTCGCGGTTTAGCGTCATTCTTGGTTCATTTTTAGAAGGATTGGCCTGATCCATTTTTTTTACAATTTTTTTTACCTACCTCAAATGTAAAATTGATTTTTGGCGGCGAGCGCCCGTCATGTGTGCTCTTAATATTTGATATTTATATTTGTTCTTTAACCCTTCCAAGTTTCTTTGAATGGAAGTGTAAAACATTTTCCTACTATATACTATTATAATGCAGGGGTTGCTTTTGATAGTTCGGATTAGACTTTTTTCAAAAAATATTTAAGCTTCAAATCTGCTGAAATAGTTCATAATTATTGTTACATATTTCAATTTTTTAATAAACCGCTTTTTGAGAGAAATTTGGCTGAAATTGACGAAAATTAATAATTTACGAATTTGTTGCTCTGGTTGAAATTCCTGATTTCACCACACCATTATACAAGGATATGTGTACTTTTGGTAGTAGTGCCGCGAGACGAGAGATTCTCGTCTCTCGTCTCGTCTTGTCCCGTCTTGTCTCGTCTCGAACGAGACGAGAGAGACATTTTCTCTCGAAAAAAGATTCAAGACGAGACGAGAGAGTGTCATCTCCCGACGAGAATTTCTCGTTTATCTCGAACTCTCTCGGGCTCTCTCGAACAATTTCCTCTTTGCTTATTTGAAATTTTCAATTGCTTATAACTTAACATATTAGATTTCGAGATAGTCAAAAAGTTAATTATAACACACCTATTCTATAAATATTAAATGGTAACAAATGATACTTGTGTTATTAGAATTTTATAAATAGTGATTTATAGGAAAAAATATTTCTCATTTCATTTATTTAAAATTTATACAATCATTTCTTATATTTAATCCATTCTGCTTTGGTGAGGTTAATTTTGAAGATAAGTTAAAAATTTTTAAGCGTTTTTTTCGAAAAACTGTCAACGAAAATGTAATACACACGAATGTATTATATACAGTGGGGACGAAAATTGTACCCTCCTCTATTTTAACTTCTAAATGAAAAAATATAACAAAACAGAAACGAGGTAAAACTTTTTGTTATAACGAGATGCACTTTACTTGAGACATGTAAGATAGAGGGAGTTACTAGCTTTAAATTTTCTTATGGAAAGTAGGGTTATGTGATACCTCATTTAAAATATATTTTCTATATTTTTACAACAAATTTAGATTTTTATATTTTTACAGAAATTACATTACCTAAATAAATTCATAAAGTAGGTTAAATTC